TGTAGCAGGGATTGAACTCTGGTCCTTGCTCTTGCAAGGCAGACGGCAGAATCACTGAGCTAAATCTCAGGCCCTACCCTTTTGTCTATAAAGTGAGATTTTAGCACTTTATTTACTCTTTTCTGTCTACTACCTCTTCTTCTTCCTACTTTCCTTTTATTTCTGATATTAAAAGATGGTCAGTCCGGACCTGGTAATGCCTTTAATCCCAGCACTTGGGAGGCTGAGACAGGAGGATCACTGTGAGTTCGAGACAAGCCTGGGCTTCATAGTGAGTTAGTTCCAGGTCAGTCTCACCTACATAGTGAGAACCTGTCTCCAAAAAAAAAAAAAAAACAAAAACAAAAAAAAGATGGTCAGTGTGCAATGTGAAGAACTCAGGCATCTTGCTTTTTTGCATATACTATGGTGCTTCCCTCCCTTTTCCCCCTATTTAGAAAACATGGTGTCTAGAAGTTTATTTTTTAAATTTATTTTTTATTATTTTTGGGTACCAGAGATTGAACTCTGGTCCTTGTGCTTGTGAGGCAGGCAGTGGAACCACTGAGTTAAATCCCTGGCCCTAGAACTTTAAATTATAAATATAATTTAAACATTGTTCACAGTGCAAAATCTATCTAGAAGCAGCCTAAACTTCATTAGTGTTTTTCTTTGAGCTGTGTGTAATGAAAATACAACAAAAATTTGGAGAGTTTTGTGTCATTCTCATGAAATTTGATTTATAATAAGTTTACTAATCTTTGTAGGTAAAAATTCACCTGCCAGTGAGATTGTGAGCTCTTATTATGCTTAATGAAGACAATGTAATTATATATTCACAAAACATTAGGCAATAAGTATTTTTAAAAAATACTTTGTTTCTATACTTAAATACATGTTCATGGTCCAGGAAGTTTGGATAGTTTTTTTTGGTATGAGAAATCGAACTCAGGACCTTGTTGCCTGCAAGGCAGGTGGCGAAACCATTGAGCTAAATCCCTGGCCCCATGTTTGGAGAATTTTGTGCTGTAAAAAATAGAAAAGACACTGGGGATTTAGCTCAGTGGTTCTGCTGCCTGCGTTGCAAACACAAAGACCTGAGTTCCATCTCCCGTTACCCCCCGCAAAAGAGAAAAGAATCCTCATATTTTTTTTCCCCTTCTGTATTTACTCTGTGCTAGGGAATGAACAGTACATTGTCTTTCTGCAGTTCAGTGTAGAATTGGGGGTGAGAGTATTTATGGTGTTTAATGTTTAGGGTTAGGTTAAATAGAAGTCTTGGTTGTGTTTATACGTGTCTCAGCGTTATTGAGATATAATTCATGTATTATGCAATTCAGCTCCCTCCTCTCCCCTCCTCTCCTCTCCTCTTCCCTCCTCTTCCTCTGGGGATTGAACTTGGGTCCTTGTGCTTGCAAGGCAGGCAGTGGAATCACCGAGGTAAAATCCCTGGCCCTGTTTTATTTTTTAATAGCACTTACTATGGGGCTGGGGACCTGCCTTGCAAGGTCCTGAGTTTGATTCCTGGTACCAAAAAACAAACAAACAAACAAACAAAAAAACTTACTATGATGGCAGAATGTGTAGTGTAAATTGTAATTCTGAAGTACAGAGTGATTGCCTTGCTATTTGGTCTGTGTCCCACCTCCCTTTAATAATGCTAATTAACTTCTAATTTTAGAAGTCATGCAGAAACATTAGAGAGGAAATGAATTCTTTTTTTTTTTCTTTCTTTTTCTTTCTTTTTTGGTACTGGGGATCGAACTCAGATCCTTGTTGCTTTTGAGGCAGGCGGTGGAACCACTGAGCTAAAATCCCTGGCCCTGCCCCAAGAAATGAATTCTTTTTTGGGGGATTGATCTCAGGACCTTATGTTTGCGGCAAGTGGTG